AAAAAATAAATAAATAAACCCATCATTAATGAAGAGAGTATATAAAATAGATGACAAGAAGTCCTCAAAGACCCAACGAAACTATAAGGACACATTCCAGTTGACACAAATAACATTGATTGGGTAATTACAAATATATACTTATTCCATGAGATGTATTTTCAAGAGGGGAACAATAGTCTCATAATCAACTAAGATCTAGTACAATTTTATGGAAAATTTTACATAGAAAGTGACTGGTACAAAATGTTGATAGGAGATTAAAGGTCCAATCCTAGAAAAAGAAGCCAATGGCTCCCTATCTGGTAATATCAGGAACATAGTAGCGCCCACAATTAGTTACAATTCCAATTGCCTATTTGGTGTTCGTTATCATCCAAAAATTATCTTTGAGACAACTAGTTACAAGTTCTTTACCTATTTCTTGCTTTTCATTATCCAAAAACAATTCTTTGAGATTTACGAAAGGATACAAATTACAATTGAAGTTGTTCTTGGACAACCCAATTCTCAAACACAATCAATTTGGTTAAAGTTGTAACCTGAGAGCAATTTGGAAAAACTGTCATCGTTATGTCATTTGGTGACATTAAACACCCAGCTTTACATTTATCCTTTTGAACTCGAGAAATCAGATGCAAATCAACACCTCCAACCTGTTCCACACAAATAAACACAACAGAAATTAATGAATTTGTACCCAAAGATTTATTTTCAAGAATGTAGAGACGGACATCGGAAAATGATCAACTATGGTACTAAACCATCAAAATGAAGTAGTTTTCCATTCTTACAACAGCAATCCATAGGTTAAGTGATTTCCTGATGTCCGGATGTAAACCAGATTCCTTCAAAAGTGATCTGATCAAAGAAAATAAAAATAAATCCTGTCAACCATAAAGAAGCAGGAGCTGATGGTTGTCAATTCTATCATTTCCATCTCAACATCATGAATAATGATGCATCTGATATACAATCATGTACATTCCTTTTCCTAGTTTCTGATGTTTTCAGTCATACTGTTTTTCAGCCAAAAGACTGATTTTTTCATAAATTCGGTTCTCTTACACAGAGCATGCCCAAATTATTTTTCCTTTATCAGGAATCAAGGGTAAAAATTATACATAGGCTTAAGATCAATATAGTTATATAGGTCAATAAACTTAATTACAAAACATGTTTTACAAGGAAGGCGCGGTAGGAAATTTTAGTTATTAATTAGAATTTAAACTATAATCATTTCAATTTCATACGAATTAGATCTAAGCAGTAACCCTATATCCTTCTACTCATTGTGACTCTTCATTTCTACATAGGAAAAGTGGACATATAATTAATGTAAGCTAAGTTTTTTTTTGAGAAAATCATTTGCTCCTTTGCTTTTCTTTTACTTTTCTTCTTTTACACCACCATATACATGACTAATGGAAGCCCTTACTCAGGCACCCACCCTAAAGCATGACGTCACTTTTTCTAAACCTTCAAATTAGTTCAAAATCAGAGAAAGCTGAAACAAATGACAACAGTAACAGACCACTCCACAATCTTCAGAAACTTCAAGCTCCTTAAATCCACTTTGAGTTCCTGTCTCCAAGTCGAATACCGGTACTTTTGTTCTTCAACCATTTCTCATGTCATCAATATTCTGTAAATTCATAATAGAACTTAGAAGTAACAAGTGTAAGCCAACTACAAGAATGATTTGTGGCTCTATTCTCTTTCTTATGTAATTCTAGTCCTGCCTAACTCATATATTGCTCCTCTTCGAGAAATCTCAGTGAGATTTTCCTTTTCACCACTTGTTATTCATTCTCTCCTTGAAAAGATGCATTAGAGAAAGGATAAAGGTAAACTTCACAAAGAAGCCACAAACTTGTAGTTGGTTAAAGGGTGTAAATAGCAATAAAAATGAGCATTTTGGACAAAAGCTCAAAATGGACGCATCTTCAACCTTGAGAAGTGACAGATCAAGCGTGCTGAAATCATCATATTTGAAATCCCTCACTTGTTCAGAATTGTAATAACTCTCAAGGGAAATTACAGGTTTGGCTGTGCTTATGAATTGAAGCAGAACAGGTAGCAGCTTTTGTCGAGACTACATTTCAAGATTAACTCCCAATGCACCTTGACAAGGTCAGAAGAAGTCATGGAACTTCTATTGGAAGATGCCACCCTGTGTTCATCATCTTTTGGATAAGGTGATACTTCGGTGATGTTAAATATTTTAGGTGGGGGTATAGAAACAATTACATTCCTTGAATTCCTAGCTTCTATCTTTCTTCTCATTTTTTCACTGTTCCACTTCCATTAGCTATTCAATAAAATTTTAGCATTCTCATAAATATGGTCCCTATTCACCATGCATTGTGTGTAGTGTTCATGACATGAATTGAATAACAGCAGACTTTGTACCTTTGCTTGTGAGCCAATTGCTACCAACTCTTTTTCTCTCTTTCAATGCAGCTTACGTTATTTTGTTATTGAATAACAGCAGCCTTTGTACCTAAGCTCGGGCAAGATAGTCATTGAGTATTGTTATCAGTATCACATACAGGATAAACATAAATATTTATGTATTAGAATAAGGACAATAGTGATATCAGACTAACAAACAAACTAGAGAAAGAGAGAGATGGGGAGAGTATTATACCATGTGAGTGCAAGTAAAAGCATTTTCTCAGCTCTCCAACTTCTGATTAACAATGCTAGAAGGCAAACCCAGTGTTTGGAGGGTAACATCATCTGGAAGTATACCATCTGCTCTCATTTCATCAAATAGTTCATGTGCTTTTTCAATTTTTCCAAGCCTGAGATATCCAGCAATAAGAACAGTGTAAGTTATCACATCTGGTGTAAGATTAGCTCTCTTCATATCATCAACCAAAAAGCTTGCAAGATCCAGTCGTTTTAACTTGCAGAATCCATCAATTAAACAAGTGTAAGTAACAACACTAGGTGAACAACCATCATTTGACATTTCCTTAAACAAAGCCCAGGCCTTCTTCATGTCTCCAATTCTACTAAATCCTGCTATCATAGAAGTGTACAAAATCTTATCTGGAACCAAACCTTTTACAATCATTTTCTTAAATAATCTATATGCCCCATATGTTTCATTCCTATTGCATAACATATTAACAATAATAGTAAAGGTGACAGCATTGGGTGTAACTCCTAGTCTTTCCATTCTTCCATACAGCATTAATGCCTCTTTCATATTAGACTGTTGAGCAAAACCCTCTATAAGAGTACTATAGTGTACAACCCCTGGAAGTATATTCGACTTAAACATTATTGGCAAAAGCTCCCACACTTTTTCTAAGTTTCCTTCCTCACACAGCCTCTTCATGATTATATTGTAGGAATATGAGTTAGGCATAATACTGTGATCTTTCATATAAATCATAAGTTTCAGAGCCTCTTCCAAGTTCCCTTCTCTGCAATACCCATCAACAATAAAATTGCAAGTCATCGTATCAGGCAAACCACAATGTTTTAGCATGAGATTGAAAAGCTCTATTGCTTTATTGAAGTGTCCCATTTTGCAAAACCAATGAATCATTCCACTAAAATTGAAAGCATCAGGACATAAATGATTGTCTACCATCTCATCCAAAAGTTTGTTGGCAGTATCCATATTACCATGTGAACAAAATCCTCTAATCAAGATGTCGTAAACAATCAAGTCATATTTGTAACCAAGTTTCTGAAGTCTGCGAAAAATATCTAGTGAGACATCCATCAGTCCACTCTTACAAAGACCATAAATTAGAGACGAATAGCTGACCAGTGATGGTTTTAATTTATAAAGTTCCATTTCCTCAATCAGACTGAGACCTTTCTCAATTTCCCCTCTCTTGCAGAACCCATCAACCAAAATACTATAACTATAAGCATCTGGTAGCATTCCATAACTCCTCATTTCCTGGAAAACCTTCAAAGCTTCCTGTGTCTTACCCACTAGGCAAAATTCATAAAGAATAGGATTATAACAATAAGCATTAAGAGGTCGATTTTGGCGTCTCAGATTTTGAATAAATAATAAAGCAGACTCAACAGAACCAACTTTACAAAGAGCCCGAACATAAATGCTGTATGTTACAACAGTGGGTCTCTCACCACTGCTCAGTAATTCCTCCAACAACAAGGTTACTTTCTCAATGTTGACATCACACCCATTTATCCTTTGGCAAAAGAAGTTCATCATAATGTTGTAGGTATACACATTAGGATTTGGGCCAGAAGTCTTCAAATCCTCAAACAAACTTCTAACAAAATCCTCCCTATTTGCTTCAACCAAGCACTTGAGCAAAAAATTGCACGACAAAATATCCGGCTTAAGTCCCATTTTCTTGGCTTGAACAAACACATCCACAGCATTCTCAAGCATTGAGTTACCAGAGAAAACCTTTATAAGCATGTCAAACACAATAGCTAACTTTTCCACATCATAATTTGAGTCCACAAGAAATGGGAGCAATGCAAATAAATCTAGCTCAGCCTCCCTAGCATGGCAAACAATATCTCGAAGAAGAGAGTAAACTTCCATTCGCATTCCCACCAACGCAAATACATGAACCATAATTCTAAATGCATATAAAGAGTTAAAATACCCATGACGTTTCACGGCCGTTGAGAACCTTACCTTCCTCGCAACCGTCCAGTTCAAAGTTTTTAGCACCCGAACTACAAAAGGAAAGATCATCCCTTTCCTCCTAACAGTTGAACAATTTCTTGTGACATTAACTTTAGGAACAACTTCAATTTGGGCTACCGGACTTTCATCAAACACATAGTCTTCAACCAGCAGCGCCGACAAGGAAGTATAGCATGCTCTTTTGGAAAAGCGGTGGTAATTAGCAACTTGATTATGGCGTAGAACCAATTCAGCTGAACATATTTTCGAGCATGAGCAAATACCCATGTTGAAATTTTTTTTCAAATTGCGTTCGGAGGAACTGTAAGTGGTATGAAAATGGATAATTTTGAAGTTAAAAGAGAGAGTTTTTAGTTTTACCTGCAAAGTGCAGGCTCGCCGCTCGGCCACTACATCCGTCTTTGATTTTACCTAAAAGGTTATAAAAATAAAAAATTTCTAAGGAATATTTAAATTGATAAATCATCATTTTGTTAAAAGAAAAATTATCTCATTTTTGTCCCAGTATTGCCTTAATTAAGGTTATTGTTTAATATTTATTTTATAATTTTCAGCTATTTTTTTTTTCAAATAGGTAGATGTTGCAATTATGGCATATGTTTATGCAAAGAATTGCACCACACTATTTAACGAACCAAGTTCGAACCCGGTCCCCGACTCGACCTAAACTCAAGAGCGAACCTGCACAGGAAGGCAAACACTCCAACGCTCAAGTTAGTATAGGTCGAACTCAATATTTAGTTCGAGGTGAGATTCGATACCTGAGTGTGAAATGAGGCCCTCTATTTATAGGTGGTGGATCCGACAGTACTCACGACCGGCGGTTATATGTTTTTTCTCATGTCGGACCTATCGGGTTCCGAGCAGATCAAACCCCAATCAGGTCGAACTTCGACATGTATACTTAGTCTTTTTCAATGGGCGAACCCAGTCTCCTCGACGGGTTCGAGGTGGACCTGGGTTATTTCACTCCTTGAACTCCAATGATTATCCTCCACGTTCCAAGGTATTTTTACCCCCAAACATTGGTCACCTCTCTATCAGTTACGATCTCGATCTGGCAGAGAAGTTTTACCCGACTCAATTTGGACATGTGGCGACTTCTAATTCGTAGAGAGAATACGACCGTTGTGGAAGATGTTTCGATCTGCCAGGCTGTCGGAGCATTCAAGTATTTCGTCGTTACGAATCTTGAGATGATCCTAGCCGCTCGTTCATTACATGTGTACGGCGCAGAGGTTTTTCCGATTAGCTATAAATAGTTTCGAGACTTCAGGTCAAACCTTACGTTCCCTGAATTTCTGGAGTTTGATCTGAAACCAGCTCGAACCCTCTGTAGGTTAGTCACTTTTGTTTTACTCTTAGCTTTCGAATATGGTAGTTTTCATGTCTTTTCCCTCCAGTAGTGATAGTTTAGGTAGCGCAGGTCGAACTATAGCAATTCGCCCCCCAAACCAAGTGACTCTGGGGAGGACTTGGCTCTTAAGTTAGAGTTCGAGCTGGAAGAGATAGAAAACTTTAGATTTTTCGACGATGGGGAGGATAGTGACACTTCCACCTCGGGCCAGGGGTTAGAATACCCTTCGAAAATGCCTGAGCATTACCTCGGACCCCTCCATAGGGGGTTTAGTTTTCCAGATGATATCATCCTTAGGATTCCTAAAGAAGGGGAAAGAGCTGACAATCCTCCAGAGGGATGGGTCACTCTTTACTTAAAAATGTTTGAGTACGGCCTCGGACTTCCCCTTCACCCCTTTGCCCAAGAGTTCCTAAACCGAACCGGACTGGCCCCTGCTCAAGTGGCCCCCAACGGATGGGGTGTCATTTTTGCTTTGGTCATCCTGTTTTGGTTACGAGCTTGGGAAGTGGACGAGGTCGATCTGTTAGATGTTGAGCAGCTTCTAGGGTGCTTTGAAGCTAAGAGGATAGCTAAGAAGCCAGGTCGGTACTACATGTGCGCAAGGAAGGGCGCGAGTGGTATAGTCAAAGGGCCGACCTCCATCAAAGGATGAGTGGGGAAATGGTTCTTTGCCTCTGGTGAGTGGCTGGCAAAGAACGAATCAGGTCGTCCCTTCTTTAACGTGCCTGTTAGGTTTGGGAACCTAGGTATAAGGTCGTTATGATTACTTCTTGCATCTTTAAACCTTTCTGTTCTAACTTTTTCATATCTGACTTGAACTCTTCTCTGTCTTGTGCAGTGTCGATCAGACCGATTCCCAAGCTCACTCAAGCCTCCTTCGACACCCTCAAGTATTACAAGGATCACTTCCCAAGGGGCTGGAAGATCGGAACCTTGGTGACTAACAAGCTGCTTCTAGAATCTGGGTTGTTAGACTACAACCCCTTGGTGCGTCCAGTTGAAGCTTCAAGGTCAAACTCCGAACTTGGTAAGTTGAGCTCGGTTTCACTTCGAATTTATACTTCAACTTTCATTTCTAATATCTTGCTTTAACTGCCTTGCAGCGATGGTATGCGGGTTCACTGGCAGCGTGAAGCGCAAGTCCAAGGGTCGTGCTCATGCCCTTAAGTCCGTGGAGGGTACAGAGCCAGCAACCCCTGCTGTGGCTCAACCTATGGTTCAGGACAAGGCTGAACCGTCTTCTGAAGTTTCAACTCTGGTGATCGAGTTGGACTCTACTGGGGAGCATTCTAGAGAAAAGCGCCTAAAGAATGAGTCCGAGGCGCTAGACGTATCTCCTCTGAACGAGGTAAGGGAATGATCTCCTTTGAAGAGGAGAAGGAAGAAGAAGAAAACCACCTCCTCCTCGGAGGTTAGACCTCGTGGCCCCTGCCCACGAGCCATGCCATTTGGTGGACAATCCCGAAGCTCGGATGGGGGGGACATCCGACGTGAAGATGC